TTCGGATGAAAGAGCAAGATAAAGAGATTTATGTGTGAATCGCACCAGAAAACGACAACTGATCACTTTCAGATTGGCGCAGTCCACGGGACATCCTCTCTTGTTTCGGAAAAATCTACTAAGCTTTGGTTGGTTATTAAAACTTTCTGACCTGGGCATGACTTTAAACTTTTTTATATTTATTCTGAGGTATAACAGGTAGTGTTTGGCTGAATTGCACAACTACAGACGGCAACACACACACACATAAATATGATTATCATGATTAATATGAAGGGAAATTGTTAAAATCCTTTAATGTCTACCTATGTCTATATATCCTCGTTTTTGGTTAAGCATATGTAGCATGTTAAGGGGAGCTGAATAGTTTTCTTGACCTATTGTTAACGTGAATCTTCCCAAGTTCTAGCCAGGATGAGGTCTGTCAAATTGACGTACGAAAGCTCAACTCATGTCCACCCGAAACTCGATAGTATGTCTCGTGGACTTTGTCATTCTGAATGTCTTAGTAAAGCTAAACTGCTGCAGCACAATGGGAATCACTCATCGTCTTCGGGTGAGATAGACCTAAGAATCTCTTTATGTTACACGAAGGAAAAGTCCCACTCGAATATTATATCAGGAAATAAAGCGAAACACAGTTATTCTTCGTATATACAGTCAGGTAAAGAGTATTACAGATAATTCTTCTAGTGAAAATGTCGTGCTATTCAAAATGTTTATAATATATTAAGTCATCTAGTCGGTTCTATCCCATTAAAAAATACTTATAAGAATTAATCATAATGCAGTATAATAGCTAAGGATAAAGAAAAAGTAGTAAAAGACAGCATTTTATTATAAGCACAGCAATATAGTATAGAAAGCATCGTTGCGTGTTGTCTAACTAATCACACCTGCAAAAGTTATCTTGAATAGTGTTGTTTAAATGAGGCAATTGGTCCTTGGTCCATAGGCTGCAATAATTATGCCGTGCTTGCTGGAAAAATATAGCATTTACATTATCACACGAATCTTTCATTGTAGTGCTTCTATCCCTATAATTGGTCCTCAAACTGCTTCAAGCTGATGCCACTTTATCTTTTTTTCTTCATCTTATTTGCCTGTTATAAATTATTCAATAAGGTTGTTTCATTAATTCTAACATCTCTACAAATTTCAGAAGTGATATCACAACATACATACAGAATTTTTACTCTGATGTAATCCCCAATCGCTTATTTTTCACAATTAATATTGTCTTTTGTATTCTTTTCTCGAAACTCTACTTAAATACGAAAAATTCCTATCTTTGTCCATGTCCTGTAAGGGGATTTTATATAATTTTGTAATCTGCCATACTTTACACATAAAACTGGATGGCGGGACGAGCATAAAGAGCAGTGGTCTAACTATAACTAAGGCGTCTGCTTCTCGGCCATTTAATCTTTAACACTGCCGACTGAATTTTGGCTGGTATTACATGCAGCCTGGTGTCAATTTATGACTTACTAAATAGAAATTCTTTTTTTCAAACTCGTATCAATAGCAACCTGTCTGTACACCAAATTCACGGTCGGGTTAGCCACGATCAAATAAGGAAGAGGCTTGGTGTCTGGGGGAAGTTTCCTCTCATCTTTTCGGACAGAATAATTAAATCTTCTGTTGGCTTCTTTGGCGCCCGTAGTTGTATTCAAACTCGGCCTGTACTGGGAAGAGGATCTATCAATTTTTCTGCTAGACCGGAATGGTATAGTTTCGTTGGGTCACTTGAGGCAAAGTAATTGCACATACCATACTTCGTCGGGACTGACTTTCATCCTTGCAGTCGAACAGTGGGGGACTTAGAGACAAGGGCCTAGACTTAGAATGCTTGTGAAGGGAGCATGGTAGCTTTGAATCCTGTCCGGTAGGCGCAAAGTTGATCATCAACCTTCTCAAGTTTGGTGCCTGAGTCGTGGCCCCTTAAAACAGGCTTGTCAGAAACCATCATTCTTGTTTGGTCTATGGAGGCAAGTATATGCTGGGAAATGTAGAACTTTCTCCAATTCAACATTTAACAATTTTGCATTCGCTGAGGCAAAATGTGGCATTTCCAGTTGAAAAGGATCAAATACCGCGGAAAAGACTGTTAATTTCTTTAAAACACCTAAAGACTGCGCAATTAAGCGAATTCGGATAGACAATAAGGCTAACGAAAAAAGCATAGTTAAAATATTTGCTTAAAATACAAAATAATGGGGAACGTGGCAACGACGATACCGAAGATATAGAATAAAAATGCAAATGCAATGCTATAGCGTTATTCTGCTCCTCCTTTACATGCTCATACATCCGCCACCCTTATTTCCGACCTCCTCCTCCTCCTACTACTACTTCTACTACTAGTCTGCATCTATTTCTCATACTCTATTCCTTTCCCCTTTTCATCCTCCAAATTATTCTAATTCTTATTTCTCTTCTACGCCTCCTTCTTGGATTCCTCTATTTTGTCTTCCTCCCCCCCTCTATTTTCGTAATCAATATGCTTCCCCTTCTCCTTCTACAACTTCCCTTCATCCTCTATTTTCATCCCTTCACCTCGATCATCTCTTTTTTCTCCTACTCCTTTTTATTCAAATACTTTAATGTCTACTCTTCTAGCCTCTTCACCTCCTTGTTCTTATCCCACTTCTTCCCTCTCCTACTCCTTCCTTTACTTCTTCATTTACCTCCCTTCAATCTCCTCCCTCTCATCTTCCTCCTGCAATTTCTCTTAGTCGCTTCATCCACTTTATCCATCTGCTCCTCCTCCTCATTTATTTTCTTCCTCTCATCCTCCATCCTTAGTAGAAATGATGCCTTAACTGCAATAAACTAAGATATGAAAGCCAAGATGGTATGGCCTTCGGTATGGTTGCAGTCTCTTTTCGATGTATCGAAGTGGGTTAACCTCGTTTCGCAACTTCGTCTTGTTGTCAGGGCGACTTAGTTGGACAAACTTTGTCCGAAGTCATCTAATATAGTAGTTATCATAATCCACAGCGTTAGACCTAGACTTGGTACATTCCCAGATGTTTCGTCGGCATTGGAGTCGGCATCATCAGCGAGTCTTGCCATTCTCAGCACCAAACCACAACTCGTCGTCAGCTCCCTCTTTGCTAACTGACACATACAAAATTCAAAGAAAACGTAAGGGCATTAACATTTTGGGGAAATTCAACTACCATCACTTTAAAGGAGATAGGATGAAAATATCTCATACGTCTAGATTAGGTAAACCACCCACCTTTTATAGTTCGACAGTTAATATTTTTTTCTTACCTTCAATCATGTCCATCAAATGAAAGAAATTGTTCAGCTTTTATTTGCTATTCTACCAAACGGCGAAGTAGTCGTCCATAAAGTGAATGAGTGTAGGAAATTAATTGGAAACTACTTATGATCGTTGGATAGGATTAAAGGTAGGGAGGAACGAGAATTACCGCCAAACAAGAGGAGCAGGCTTGATCAGGCTCGAATCTGGTGTTGACTCTCACATCTCACAAATTTCCAGAGCACTGCTTCATCTACAGCCACCTAATTTAACTTTTTAGCAAACGTTTAGGCAGAGCATAGAATATCCATCAAAATAATGAAATGTCTCATTAAATGGACCAAGCTGGACTATAAGAAGCAGGTAGATTTGTAGCTGGCCCCCATTTTGTCTCCGTGTTTTCGCGAATTGTGGTTAAGTATGGTGTCCTGCTCTGATGATGTCGTCACTTGACGGAAGAAAACTTAACGAGGATTCATCGGAGTCGCAGGGCAGTATGCAGTATGCACAAATCTACAATTACAACTCTGAAACAATCCCTCTACAGGTTTCGGTAAGGACTATTTATAAAACCCTTTCTCTCGTCTCTTTAAACGAAATTAAAGGTACTCCAGCAACAATCTATTAAAAAGATTCTTCGAAAGGCATTTACTCTACATACCAAGGCTCAGTCCTTCATACATTAAACGAAATAGGGTTAATACATCTCATATTACTGATTGGTGAATGTCCCAGTAGAAACAACAAACTGTAAATGGAGAGAAACCCTTTGGCATAGTTGGATGAATTCGACCCTTGAATTTCGTTATAACAAACACAAAGTTTTATTCGAAATAAAAGTCAAATAAACACCGACGGCAGCCCACAAAATGGGATCGAGGTGAGAGGATGGTGTGCAAGGGCTTCACACCCAAGTAAACAGTTACATCTTCAAACATTCTTATTTCGAATTGCTTTGAAGCAAAATTACGAATTTATTCCTCAAAGATTTGCACACGCAATGAATGCCGGAAATAATTCTTTTCATTTTTCCGAAAATGCCTAAAGACGTCTTCATCAAAAATAACTTAACACATGGCCCTAGCCTAACGACTGATTTTATTCATCATCAACAACCTTCATCGCATCTTTCAAAATCATTGGTCTTCATTGTTTCATCAGGAAAGATCTTATCAAATTATACTCACATTAGACTATAGTGCCTCAAAATCTAGCCTACAATTGAATTAGATGGTGATACTATGGCCTCTCTGTGCTATGAATGTTCTGGCTCATCACCGCCCTATAGGGCGAGATAAAAAATATAAGCTACCATTAGAGATGAAGAAAAGTTGGGTATAGAGAGATCTCTTGTTTCATACTTGTCAAAATTACTTCCATTTTGAGTGAAAGTGTTTGGTGAAGAGATTCGAAGGTCTAATTTACCAGAAGACGACGGCGGATTCCTCTTGACAAGCTGTCGATTGGCCTAACTAGAAGATTCATGCTGACGCTGGTTCCGAGATAGTCTCTTTCGATTCCGGTTAAAACGTGCTAAGCTTTCGCATGTCGTATGAAGAACGTTATCAGAGCAGGATTTCATTCTTACAACCATATTCAAGCTAACGAGTCAAGAAGTCGCCAGGACCTTTCAGTTAAAATGGAATTAAACTCAACAATGATGAAATAAGAGATTCCTCGAAATCCAACTTTTCTTCGCAGAAGAATTAACGTCTATTCTCAACCATCAAGGATTGATGGTCCCCATCTCCTCCTCTTTCTCTATATTTTGCCCATCACTCCGATTGCGCAAAGCCGTCGCACCTCTGGGTATGTTGAAGAGTTTTTTAGTCTCCATTTGAGAGAGAAAGAGTAACCTAAACAATGCAGAAAAGTGACCAAGACAGGATGGCTCCTCTAATTTTAAGTTTAACCACAGACATAACATAGTCAGCTAGGCAAGAAGTTTGAGATTATTTAATCTCATATTTCCGCTACAACAAACACAACCACACCTCCAAACAGGGCTTGGTTGGGAGTTTTGTGAATACCTCAATATCACTTGAGAGAAAAAGAGGGT